CTCTCTGCTCCTATGATGCTGCTTGGCCAGCCTCTCTGCTCCTATGATGCTGCTTGGCCTGCTGTGTTCATCCAGCCCTGCACCTTGTTGTCTCGGATTCTCCAGCATCTGCAGTTCCTACTATCTCTCACTAAAGACTAGATCTGGACATCCAATTAAAGCAAGAGTTCAGGTTCAATTAAGTCCATATGATGTACCATAGAGAAACCACTGATACATTTGGATGAAAAGGATAGTACATCCAATTTGTAACCGTTCTTTATGTGCCAACTAGATTAAAGGTGACCAAATTGTTGCTAATTTAGTCAATGGAACCATTGATTGTGATTGCTGATTGGGTCTTTTTTTAAAAAAAAAACCCGGTGAATAATTCCTTCATCCAGACAGAATAGAAACAGTGAGCTGTATGTTGACTCCTTGTGTACAATTCTCATGAACACAGCTAACATTATGTTGATAGCACTTCACTGTTTATTAATGTAACATCTTTCAAATCTTAATTTGCCACCTAACATTTGTTTCTAAACCATTTTCTCCTGTTTGCCAAATTATTCTGATCAAAGATAGTTTTTAAAAAAAAAAAAATTCATCTCATGGTGGCCCATTTTTAATGGAGGGATTGAATATAATGAAGTGCTGAATTATTTTGTGGAGATTGAGCGAGAAGTTGTACCTTGGGAAGAACATACTGGTCTTGGAGATTTACCAGGAGTGCTACCTAAACTCTCAAGGGCTAAATGATCAAAGAGCAATTACACAAAAACATATTGCATTAGCTGGAATTTACAGTTCAGAAGGTAGTTCAATTGAACTTTGTCAATAAGTAATTTCTACTGGTTGGAAAGGCTAAGACAGGAAAATTTTTATCTAAAAATTTCAGTCAGACCCTTTCAGGAGTGAAATTTGGAAATATTTTTAATGTGGTAGGAATTTCAAATTTTCATCTGTAAATAGCAGTTCATGCCTAGTCATTTGTCAGTGTTAAGCCTGATAATTTTTTTTCTTGACCAAAGTAATTGTAGGGTGTGGAGAAAAGCAGGTATGCAGAGTTAGGATATCAGTCAGCCATGATCATATTGAATGGCTTAAGAGGTTGGAGAGACTAAACAGCCTGCTTCTGTTCTTGCTATTTT